AAAATTTTTTATTTGCAACAATGATGTAGGTCTATAGCCAAAATTAGTTGGGTTTTTGTTACATATTTTGTTATTGATGTTTTTATGGTAATAAAGTTTATTACCTTTACAAAAAGAATTGTTTTTTGAAAGTGTCACAAAGTAATATGCTTATTTTTATCAACAAAAATTCAGTAGTTTCAGTACAGTAGTCTTGTGGAAATTTGCAGGGAAAATTCTACAGAACACTATCAGTTGTATCAGGTTGTTCCAGGTTTTGTAATACCTTGCATGTATGATGCATTTCCATGAATAGTTTAGGATGAACAAAATAACTTACACCAAAAAAAATTGTATCTGAAGATAGAATTTGAATAATTTTAACTTAAAAAAACATTTCAAAATTTATATTTTGTCATATTCTGACTCGTAATTAGAGTAAATCATGAAGAAAACTGTTCTTTTCATTTCTGCATAGCTGCAAATAATTTTACATGCGAACGAAACATCCTACTTATTGATTTATTTCTGACCATCCCAAAGAATAACTATTTTTACTAAGGACCTATCCCATCTTGTGTATATATTATCCATTTCTTGATTTTCAAGCATTTCCCATAGTTTTTGTACAGGCCTTAATTGAAACCTTGCTATGGTATTACATCAAATGGTTTAATCATTTACTAAGAAAACAAAGCTTTGAAAATAGCTATAATGAAATTTAAATATTATTGGATAGAATAAGAATTAGACTATGATGTATTAATAGCATAAAGGTTTAAATGTAAGTCTTTTTGTATTTTCTTTGAATGTTCCTTTTGTTGTGCCTTGTGAAAGTATTTGTGTGTTAAATTTTATCTGTTTGAAAACTACGGAAACTGACTTCCGTGGAAGGCATCAGATAACTTGAGATAAGATAGGTAATCTCATACAATTTAGAGATGGATTGAATAGGTAACAAAGAAAACATTATCAGAAGTTTAACGTACACAGCAACAGCAAAGAAGCCACATGACTGAATATTACTTGAGGCTTAATAAAGGTATTTTGTTGATGTTTGGTGTTATTAAGTTGCTATGTTTGTACAAATGAGCTATTTTTAAAAAATTATGTTCACCAAATAAAATTGTCATTCAAATCAGATAAGTTTACTGAGTATAGTAGACAACTGCCAAATATTGTGATGACTCATATCTGTATTGAAAATAATTTTTATATTTATCAGACAATAATAAATTGTAAATTCACAAACAAATTTTTAGTAAAAATATTTTTTTAGGACATCTGATTTGTTGTGTACAGCAGACTTGTAATGTGTACTAAACAATTACTAAGCTTCATGAAAATACACTTTGTACATTCAAAGTTAAAGTATGTATAGTTGCATGGTGGTTGCAAGATCAGTCATAATGACTGAGCTGATATGTATAAGGCTAAATTTAAATTGTCTCTTCATTTAACTAACCAAACCAAATTTTGCACAATATTTCCAAAAGCTACCTGGCATATATCCTATAGAGTAAAAAAATATGGATTACAATTCTCATTTTAATACTCATACATAATGTTAATTTCGAAACACATTTAATCAGATATCAGTTTCTACATAGAATACAAAATTAGTTGTATTTTATTGGTTAGATAGACATTTGTTAAAAACAAAGCGTAAGGAGACTCATACCTATTTTGACTTTTCTTATTTTAGAAAAGACTTCAGATATTTCTGAAGCCTGCTATATAACTTTAAAATTAATATGATTTAAACTGTTTGTAACCTATACAGTGCATTAAAATAGCAAGGATATGACACCAAATTTAAAAAACATTATTTATAGTAAAAAACATCATTACAGAAAATACAAAAGAAAAGTGTATAATGGGATAGTATTTTGTTTATGATTCCTTTGCTTTACATAATTTATCAATATATATTTCTTTAATATTGTTCAAAGTGTCTCATTTTACTTCCAACAATTGAACTAGAATAAAACTAAGACTAAAGTACCATGTTGAAATATAAAGGTTTTACTAACCTACAAGCTTTCCAGCTCTTTAAAAGAGTCCTTTGTCAGATGGAATTACAATATTAACTAAAAAAACTTTCAAAAAGTGAAATTGATCGTGTGAGAAAATCATGGTCATACACATATTGTTGCTAATGTGCAAATGAGAAATAGTTAAACACTATTAATTTTTAATTATGTGTATCTTCCTGCATTATGTAAATTTAAAATTTTGTGTAACATAAAGATAATAATTCAGTTTTACCCAGTATAAAAAGTAATAAAGAGAACAATAATTAGGTGTCAAAGAAGTAAAAGCGGTGTTGGCCTGTTTAAAGTCAAGGTATAGTTTAAGCACATTTTCTGTATGTTTGGATGTATATTTCTGAGAGAATGGCATGATGAATCAGTCTTCATGTCCTTGTGAAAAGTCAGAGTGCTGTCAATTTTGTGTTGATCACCAATACATTTGGCTGAGATGCAGATCTTTACTTGTACTGATCCCCACCCTGCTTCTCCTTAGATGTTGTACCTTAATTATGATACTATTCTCCTTTCTGTCACTGAACAGTCATTGATTATTACCAAACAATTTAATCTTGGATTTATTTATGAAGATCAACATCTTCAGCCTTGCTTAGTTCGCTGTTTATGGTTCAATATCCATTTTGAACCTTTTGGTTTGGTTATCTTTTTTTTTCAGTAGTGTTTTTTGAGCAGCTACACGTTGACACCCTGAGACACTAAACACACTTTTGAAGAGATTTAGTTTTGTATCTTTACTACTACAGTTTTTAACATTGTCAGTTTCACATACTCTTTTTATGGTCTTGCCACAAATCTTCACATGGAGTATCTTTGACCAGCCAAAACATTGATTTCTACATATGTAGCATTTTAGTTTTGGGAGTCCTAACTGGATTCACACATCTACTATTACTACTACTAGTTATAGCATGACTGTCTATACTTTTATATGCATTATACTGAAGTGGCACTATTTCTATGATTGTATGACATGATACATGACATTTTCACATGACAAAGCAATGGCATTCCCATAATATTTGCATTTTATACCTTTTTTCCTTACCATTCCCATAACTATTTACAATACTGTGTGTAAATGTAATTGAAAGTTTTGTAGTTAACTCTTTAAAGCTATAATTTTTGTGTGTGTTTTGCCAGAATTATTTTCATGATTTCCTAATAATTATCACCATACCTTATAAAACTTCAATTTTCTTAATTTTGTGGATAATAACGTGGTTTGGATTAGTTTTCAGCCAAAGTTATCAGACATTATCACCATCTGATGGGTAAGTTGGGATTTTCAGCCATACACTGGCAACATTTGCTTGGGTTGAAGGAGTTAATGGTATTATAGTGTAAGTAGTTTCCTTAAACAATATTATGTTCATTGATTGTTAAAGATACATAGAATTGAATGATGTATAACCTTCATTTCTAATAAAGGGTTTACTCAGTTCGATAAGACTTACTAAAGTCATTTAGCAGTTAAACTGATGGGTTTTCTAATAATGGAGTTGGCATAGATTTCATGTCAACTGTAACAGCCCTAGTGTTCAGTTTATACTCTACTCAAGGTACCGTAAAAGAAGATTTGGGTGCTGTGTGTGTGGGTAACAACCTACATTTGAAGTAACCATGTGAAGCATGGACAAATTATAACCATCAAGTGGAGCAAAATCTTATCTAGTACATTATGGGGTGATTTTTGCCCTAAAAATACCAGTGTGTGTTTCTCTGCAACATTGTATTGATTTCTACAGACTTTATATGTCACCTACAGACTTCAAGTAACTGCACCTCAACATACTTTGATATTCTTTGTGTCTGTCTGATAATGGAAATGGTTCCCTTTACTTATTGTATTTTTTCTATTTTTCATGCACATGTCACCTACAAATTTCAAGAATGTGTGTGTATTTATATAAATTTATGCTTTAGTGAGGAAAAATAAAATTTTATGAGATGTAGCAAGTACAACAGATATTATTTTAGAGTGGAATAACTATGGTGGTAGCATTGTGTTGCAACATGTGAACTGAGTTTTCTAATGGCTTCTTTTTGAACTTTAGACAATGTTTTGGGTTCTATGTTAAGTCCTTCATCAGTCCACATTTGGTAATAGCATCCACACAGCATTGGGTTATCCTATATCTCCTATATCAAATCACAAGTGGAAAAACCAGTACACAACCAACCATGAATCAGTTATGGGGAAGGGACTCAGGTGCTGTAGCTCACAATGTCTTGAGTCTAGAAGATTATAATAACTCTAAAACAATCAATGATCATTATTAGTGTAAGTACTGATGAAACTGTATTACTGCAAAAATAGTGTCAAATATAAAGAACTGTATTATTCTTCAATATAGCTGTATAGTTAGTAGTATAATCACCCAACCTATACCCATATTATAATGTCAGTTACACATTGATACAAAATATTAATAAAACTGACACAGTTATATTTGTATTTTACTATATAGCTAAACATAATGTTTCCAGTCTAGTCTGATTGGTCATCAGTGGAGGTTGGGTGTTAAATATTGGTTGTATTTGTGGTTGCATGCCATGTATTTTCCAGTTTATGACTTATTACTATCTTAAAGATTTATTCTTATTTTGCAAATAAATTGAGTCAGAAATTTTAATGCAAATGTGCCTTTCATAATGTCAGATCTTTCATTAAAATGGAATGTCAAATTGATAAAAAGTTACATACCAAAGAATAAAAAAAATTTTTTTTTCATAATATGTCAGTTATGATTTTGAGATGTTTAAATATAAGATGTTTTTTTTTAACTTGTTAGTCTGGCTTGCTTATGATTAAAATGAAACCATTTTGAATCTATTTAGTCAAAATTAATGTAACTCCTTGTTACTAAGGCTAAAACCAGATTTAATTTAGTAGGGAAAGAAGGTGTACACTTTCTGGTGCTGTCCTTTACAAATGTTTTCACTCATGTTGAGTTTATTTTTCTTTTGTAGCAAGCAGAAGTAGAGAACATACAGCTTGGTCCAGGCCGTTCTTTCTACAGTTGGGGAAAAGGTAGTAGTGGAGGAACTAAAGCTCAAATTCAAGAAACTGAATCCAGACCTCCATTGCCCTCTAACAGGCATGTCATTTTTAATAATGTCTAAACGTGAGACAGCCTAACTGATAATTTTTATATTTAGATTTTACTTCATATAATTTCAGTCGGTCTTGAAACTAATATCTTATGATTGTACAAGTCCATTACGGGTTGGGTGGAATCCACCCAGCTCATAACCATGAAAGTATCCATATCTTTACAAAATTTTGGAGGTTATTGGTAAACATTACAAGGCTTTCTTATACAAAATATTGGGTTTTTTAATTAAGTATTAAGGTGTTGAAGTAAAGATTTTCTCGTAAAGTTTTTTCTTTCTCAATGTTAACTCAATGCATCAGAACATTTTCAAATTTCACATGCAAAATCTTTATAACCTCCAGATAATTATCAAATTTGTTTTTGAAAAAACTATATTTTTATTTGTTATTTTTAGTGCTGTATCTCTGTATGTGTTGGTTCAATTTGACTGATTTCGTAACCTCCACAAAAAAATTAGGAAATAAGTATAAATTATGCTTTTTTCATTCTAGAATGACTTAAAATTATTACACAAAAACACAAATGTTTAGTCTAAATACCTTAAAATTCATAACGTTATACATTTATATATATATATTTATTATTTTTACCTTTCAGCTACCTGGCTAACAGTATAGAAGTTGCAATAACGCGATGCACGTGAACTCATATTACCATATCCAAGAGTATAAAACTGGCCTTTACCAAGTGATCTGTCTTGGAATTATTGTTTGTTTGTTTGTTTTTGAATTTCACACAAAGCTACACGAGAGCTATCTGCGCTAGCCATCCCTAATTTAGCAGTGTAAGACTAGAGGGAGGGCAATTAATCATCACCACCCACCACCAACTTTTGGGCTACTTTTTTACCAATGAATAGTGGGATTGACTGTCACATAATAATGCCCACACAGCTGAAAGGGAGAGCATATTTAATGTGATGGGAATTCAAACCCGCAGATTGTGAGTTGTGCACCCTAACCACCTGGCCTTGCCAGGCCTCATACTCATTTAAAGATGTTATAGTTTTGATACTACTATATTTAATATAGTATGTATATCTTCACAGAATTTGGCAGACTTTCAGTAAAGATTACAGGTCTTTTACGTATACAAAAAATCAGATTTTTAGTGAAGTATTTTAATAAGCTAAAAAGAGATATGTCCATTAATATAACGAGTCTTTTTTTTTCCTTACTAGTCCAAGTGCAAAGTGATTTTCATGTTGAGATTAAAAATACTTCTCTTCATCTCAGAAATCTCAATTTTCACTTGCATAATCTCTAAAACTTCCTAAATATATTTCAAATGTTTTTTTCAGTGAACTTTATATTTCATCTGCTATTTTCTATACCCTAACTCTATATGGTATTAGTCGATTGGACTGATCTTGTTACCATAAGAAAAATTAGGAAATAAATCTAAATTAATCTTTCTTTTGTTCTAGAATGACAGCAAATTGATAGGAAACTACAAGTTTTTATTTTAAATAACTTAATTCTTGTAACAGTATACATCTATTTATTTGTATTAATTTTTTGTTTTAATGACCTTTGAACTGTGTCTGACTAGAAATACCCCAACACAACTTGATAATTACATGGCACATGTGCAGCACTCATTACCGTATCGAATTGCATAATGCACAAGCTGCTCACTAGTATACCCCATGAAGATTTTTATTATTATTTTTTCCTAATCATACCTAATAAGTTTCTATTCTTTTTTACATTTTAGTTTTATAATAATAAATATAGAAAGCAAATGAAAAACCTCGAAATTAAATATGAAACACTTTTTCAGCAAAGCTTTATATTTTATTCATCATTTTCTCTCCTGTAACATTATACTTAATTTTCCAGGTTGTAAGACAGGTTATAACGAAAATAAAGGTTGCAAAGGGCAAAATATAATGTATAGTATCGTTTGTATTGATCATAAAGTTTCAAAGGACTAATGGTCAGAGTTTATACTTCTTACCTTTTTACACTTCTTTTCTGTAGTAATTTTATTGTTAAAAGCTTACTTAGAAACTAGACAAAACAAAATGAATAGTACTGTCTGTCTTTTTCAGTATAGATCACTAAGTTACAAAGTAAAATTCCTGAGAGTTTCTTTTAAACTTTTCACACCTATTTCCTATGTTTATTCTGCTGTTAGCAGCTGAAGTAGAAACTTGCTGAATATAAAGCAATGAATCACTGCTTCTTACTTAGTTTCAAGTGCATGCTGCATGATTCCCAGAACTTTACCTGCTTTCAAAATACAGTGGGGTAGGATTTATCAACCTGTTGACAGTATAAAAGTTTCAATGGCAGTTGTCTAAAGTATTATAAAATTAATATGTTATGGCTTTGTAGAAAGTCTGGGCCCATCAGCGAAGTTGATAAGCGGACATTTCCAACAGAGTTTATTCGAATCCCAGCTCTGAAAACACTGGGGTAGAATTTATCAGCTCTTTATGGTACGTAGGTGCACACAAGAATTGTCTAAAATACTATATAAAAGAGAAAGAAAGTAGCATGTGATCCAATAAACTTAAGTATTTGGATGTTAGTTAACTTCCTGGGTGGTTGGGATTTAGTGTTAGTATAGTAAAAGTGTGTAAGAGCTTATGAACATTGTGTTTGCTATAGTACCATGCTCACACAGTAACCAATAAATGCATAGTTTTCAGTAATACAAATATGGCCAATTTTGGTTGAGCTTGTATTTTTGACTTAGCCTTGTTGCTTATCATATTAGAAACAAATTATTCATTGATTACCTTTTTTTATGTACAATGATATATTCTAAAACTTCTCTATAATAAAACAAAGTACAAATCTTTTACTCTTAGCACTAGTGTTCCAGTATTTTGTAAAATACAGTAACATTTTGGTTACCATACATTACCTATGAGTGTGTGTATGTGTGTGTGTGTATATATATATATATATATATTCTTTTTTTTAATATATACTTAAATGTCAGTTATTTTTTTAATACATAGAACAGTAAATAAAAAATATTTGGAAAAATAATGATCTCTACTACTTATGAGACTAAGAAGTCCTTGTTTGCATTCTTAAGTCATACTTGTTAACCCTCATCATAAGCCTCGTCCAAAAAATAATAATTTTTGTCGACTTTATAAACGTTTTTTGGAATATCAAAATTATATATTACTATACCGATATCCCAAAAATCCACTGTAATTTACCAGGCTTCCTAACTAAATTGAATTTGGGTCTAAAAAATCTAATTTCTGTTTAATAAATAGCCTTAATCATAATACTTCAAATATTCCAAAGATATAAGAGCATTTCTCTCATAAATAACTTAGGACGAGTAACAGAATTATGTAGAAGAAATGTAGAGCTTTCAATTGGTTATAAAGTTATTGTTATACAAATGTAGGTGTAGATAAACAAGTCTTCTCAAATGATGAAGTTGTTGACAGAACTAATATGGTGAGTTCTCTAAATATTGAGATATTTCAGCAAATAGAAAAGGTAGGAGGTTCTTATTTTATATTCTAGCTCTCCAATACTGAAAATTTGAGTTTCTGATTTGAAAGAAACTATAGATGTTGTATTATGAGCAACATAAAATGTAATCTGACAAAACCCAGAAAGCAATGTACCACGTGACACAGAAAAATCAATATTTAGCCTCTCTTTTTTAATATTTACTTTCAAATTAAGAAATTATGGAATGTGCAATACTAAAAGTTGAATTATAATCTACAATTTGATGCCAAACTTATTGACATACAATAGTTAAATAAATTTTTGATATAAGTCTATAAACATGATGACATGCCCTCTGACTTCTACCCATATTCATAGGGTTAACACAGTCTACTATTATTATATGGATTAATATTGATGCAGAGACAAAAGTGGCTATGATAAATTGCAAATCACCCTCTTTTCACCAAAGCATGATGAAATGTATAAACTTTTTTTTCAGTTTATTATACGAGTCCCTTTAACATTTGTCTTTGGAAAATGATGAACTACCAAACCTCAGTACAAATGAGTTGCAGAAACTGTGCCCAACAGATCTACAAAAAAACCAAACATTGAGCCAGATTTTTTCCTCGTGCTTATGTTTTTATGTTATGATTTATATTCATTCTCACTTGAAGATAAAAAGTGCTATTTTATAAAAGTAATTTTTGGAAGATAAATTTATAATTTGTTTTTTTAGATTTTCACTTGAGAATTACAATTCTCATATGATTAATTAAAAAAAAGACAGACACCAGTTAATTATAGAAAAAAATGCAAAATGTCTGTTTATAATTCATGATTCGTAAAGAAAGGAGGTCAAATGAATCTTCTCCTAATTTTAATTTTTAGGTTCTCAGCATTATCAGCAACAGAACAGAACTATGATTCTAGAAGAAACACACAAAGGTAAGAATATCCTACATGTACATAAAGAAAGAAACAAAAGGGCATGGGCTGGATTTCAAAGTTGGTGAACTTCGTTTCAATCCACACAAAACAACAAAGTACTCTCTGAGCTTTAAGTCTTTGGTGATTCATAAGTGTAACAGTCATTACCTTAGCAGATAGTTTTAGAGGTTTTGCCATAAATATAAATACACAAAGGAAAATATATTTTTGATATTGACAACCCAAATTTTATAATGTTATTTAAATCCTTTTGCCGCTACCAAGGTGCACCTGTTGCTAGAGGACAAAAATGCACAAAAATTAAAAATGTATAGAAAATAACGTTGTTGGTCTTCCACATGTTTTTATAAAAAAACTTCAAAGCTGTCATGTATTCTATAAAGTTTTCTTTAAATAGCTACTTTTGATTATGGGTTGATTTCAATGAGCTCTGAACCAAAACAGTGGTATTTGTGAATTTGTTGTGAACATAATACAGCAGCCATACCTCACCAGGAGAAATATTGAAATAGTTTTGAACAAAATGGTGCCAAATTCATCCTTGTAACATCAATACAAGTGTATTTTTATCAATTTTAGTAAATCACTATTTCTAAACCTCAGTTGACATGGTGTTATGTAAATTGTGTATATCTCAGCTACTGATCTAATAAACATGCAATGAAAAGTGTGTTTTATTTGCAACAGCATAAGCAATATTCCTCCAGTTCATTAGAGACTTGTAGAGATCAGAAAAAGTAATAAAAAATTAGTTTTGTGATATGTTTCCAGAAGAAAAGATGTTTGTAAACAATTTCCACCATATTTGCAGTCTTAATTTGTTTTTTAAAGACTGCTTTATCATTGTAAAAAATGTATTTGAAATATAATGTTGCAATATGATAGGGAAATAAATGATTTTAGTGGAACAAGCTGAGGTAGAGAATTGTTAGGCTTATCAAGTTTTGTTTCACTGACAAGGCTGCTGTTTGTTAGGCTGTATTTATGCTAGGCCTTATTGGCCTAAACAACTGTTTGAATGAGCAAATAAAAGCACTCGAAAGAAATGTATATATGTAGAAATGAGTATTAAACAGGTTTAAAACATATTAAGTGAAACCATCTAATTACCAATTTAAAAAATTTATCTTATAATTTTTGATATGATAAAGTGATTTTATTGTATGTTAGTGATGGTAAACACAGTGAAACTGCATGTGGTGTTTTTTGAACTACAAGAAAGTCAAAATTTACAGTTTTATAAAATGAAAACTATAGGGAGGTTATATGAAAACAAAATTTAGTAATTGAAATCTACAACAAAGGTAAGCATTTTAATGGTTATATAAAAACATTTTAACCCGATGACTACCGGTACTAACTTTCTTAGTAGGCAATGCAAGTGTGCATTTGTGAATTGAAAAAATGATAGAGAACTTATCTTTTAATAGA